GCGCCTGCGCGCTCGGTCAGCTGTCCGCATCCAGACGCGGTGCCTCTGCGATGGTTTTGGTGCGCGGCTGTTTGGACCTGCGAGCCAAGGGCAGCGTGACGTTCTCCCGTTTGTTTTTTTTTTCCTTCCTTTCAGAAACCCGACGTGCGGCTCTCCAGGGGCAGCATCGAGCGAGAGGACGGAGGTCTCCAGGGCCCAGTAAGTGTCGGGGGCGACCGCTCCCCTCCCAGCTCCTTCTCCCGTTCCCTGGTAGAACATGTTGTGCGCTGCCTTGATTATGGGGGAAGAGTTAAAAGTGAAAAATATGAAATTGAATTTCAAGCCGACATTTTACAGATACTGGGAGGAGATGGGGTTGAGCTTGATTAGTGTGGTTTTTTTTTTTTTTTTTTTTTTTGTTCCCCGCTCCCGAAGCTGCTGCTGAAACGGGCACCAAAACGTTTCCGCCGACACGTTGCAGTTATTTCTCAGTGCTTGTGTGTGCTGTATGACCGGGCCTTTTATTTCAAACTACAGAGAGTGTCTCAAACTTGTGTCAACAGGAAGCAGCGTTAACATAACTTTTGCAGTTGTTTAAATATCTGAAGGGTTTTCCTGTGAGGAACGTAAATGTTCCGGGGGTATTACCCAGAAATACTCACGCCCGTCGGGGGTGAGTGATCCGCTGGGAAACGAATGGAATAAACCCCAGAGCCGTTCCTTTCCTGCCAGACAGCAGCTGCAGCCGTGGTGTTCTTCCTGGGGGCCTTAACTCAGGTTCTGTTTAAATAAAAACGTCTCTCTGATCGTTTAATGACCATGGGAGTCGCTGAATCACGCTGGTTGGAAATAGGGGATCGGGCTGGAGACCACGGCGGTGTTTGAAACCTCGTGGCTGGTCTGTTACCTGTCTTCAGCGATCACCTTTGAAGCGTTTCTCGGAAATTAATATCTGAAATTCCCTCTCCTAGTCAGTTTTGGGACGCAGTTGTAAAATCCTAGTTTGGCTGCAGTATTTATGTACGGCCTGAGCGTTTTAGGGACTCTGTCTGCGTCTGCTGCCCAAATCTCGTCAAGGAGGAGCGTATCGATGGCGCGCTGCGGCAGAGTCGTGTTTGGAAGCCCCTAAGCTTCTTCCGTGCATGAAGCTGGAAAGGATATGAGTTATTGTTATGTCTTTGCTATTGTTATATCTTTATGTAACAGCAGCTATGAAGCGTTGCTGCGTTTCGCGCAACTCGTGCAGCTGCTTTGGGAAGGTAACTGGAGATGCTGAAGTCGTGTCCCAGGATTCGGTGAGGTGGCTCTCGGGGCGGGGGGTTTGAAGAGCAGCTTGTTGCAGCCAGCTAGCGTGCCGTCCTGCTGCTCGGTTTCGGCAGGACTGCCCAGGCCTAGCCCAGATCGGAGTTAGCGACAGAGCTGGTGACGCAGCTGGCAGAAAGCGGTGGGTTTCCCGACTGCGGGGCGGCCGTAGACCAGCGGGTGGGATGGCGGGCCGGCGGGGGG